CTACTAACTACTACTACTACTACTTCTGCTACCACGATCATTATTATTACGTCTACTACTACTACTACTACTACTACTACTACTGCTACTGCTACTGCTACTGCTACTGCCACTGCCACTGCTACTGCTGCTGCTGCTACTACTACTACTACTACAACTACTACAACTACAACTACTACTACTACTACTACTACTACTATCTCTACTGCTACTACTACTGCTACTACTACTGCTACTGCTACTGCTACTGCTACTGCTACTGCTACTGCTACTTCTACTGCTACTGCCACTGCCACTGCCACTGCCCTTGCTGCTGCTGCTGCTGCTACTACTACTACTACTACTACTACTACTACTAATACCAGTGCTACCAGTGCTACCAGCACTACCACTACTACCAGTGCTCGTACTTGTGTTAGAACGACCCCGAAGAGGACGACCACTTCTGCTACTACCATATTCCCTGGGCCCTCTCGCCATTACCATCACAACTCGTACCCCTACCACTACCACTACCGCGACTACCATCAGCAACATCACTACTACTTCTGCTCTTGCACTTCCTCCTCGCAAGCCTGCGAAAAACAGTTGTCCGCTTACAACAAGGAGAGTCCTCTGCGGATGAGGGCACTGCTTCGCCGTCCACGCCAAGGTGATGATTTGTGTAATGCTTTATGGTGTTGGTGCAATTTGTTTGGGCTTGAGCTTTCAGATTCGCTTTGGGTGTACAAAGCTGCTGGCTGGGGACTAGACTGAGCTGGCACATCCGAGGCTCATGTGGGGAAAAGGGCTCTCGCAGCTCCGCGCCTTCACCGTATTGGTATCATCCGTGCTTTATTGTATTCCGCGATGGGGGTCAATCGTGGTGGGCTGGTGGCGTATGGACGCCTGTTCATAGCTACGCATGATTCAAAAGCGAAGCGCATACTTCCCCTTGTGTTGATTGAGAAACCCTGCGGGTATGAGCCTGAGATAGTAATCAAGATTCATCTAAAGAACCCAAATGAAGATTCGGGGTTTCTCAATCAGGTCCCTATATATTTTTAGAGTTTATATATATATATATACATATAAATAAAAACATCTATAGATAGATATAGATATATATATATATATATATACATGTGTATATATATATATATATATATTAGTCTGCAATATTTACTGGAACATCGCCAGGGATCCGATGGCAGACGCCCTGAGCCCTGCGTGCCGGGCCCAGCTGGGCCAGAGGAGGGTGACTTGCAGATGTCTCGGTTTCGGCGTTTAGGGTTTTAGGGTTTGGGGTTTAAGGTTTTAGGGTTTGGGGTTTAGGGTTTTAGGGTTTGGGGTTTAGGGTTTAGGGTTTTAGGGTTTAGGGTTTTAGGGTTTAGCGTTTAAGGTTTAGGGTTTCAGGGTTTAGGTTTTTTTGGGTTTAGGGTTTTGAGTTGTTTCTGCCGGTGCAAGCCTGGGCTTTGACCATGGTGATTGTCAATTAGGACCTCGCCTCCTCGTTTGTGTTTAGTCCGCCTGCCTTGCTAAAGAGTCCTTCCTGCTCCTCTGAAACGAAGACAGTTGTGACAATTGCGACGATCGCGGGAAAAAGTCGTAAGGAAGATGAGACCTGCCTCACAGGCAAGGCATCGACAATGAATGCATCGACTTTTTCCCATGAGCAGCTGACGCAAGCGAGCAGAGAAGGAGCTCTTGGAACTGCTGCCAAGCGGCTGCAGCTGGAAGGCGGTGGTCGTATTTTTGCGGTCGGGTGAGTCCTGGTTTTTTTTGGTCGGGTTGGTCCCGTTTTTTTTGCCCACTGTCGGCCCACGTCCCAGTCCACAGGTCCCGGACAGGTCCCAGCGGGT